GGGGGGTTTACAGCACCAGGGGTTTTGAAGAGAACTGTCATACATCATACATAGGCTGGGTACAAGAAGTGTGAGAGGCTTAAAAAAAAAACTGTCACCACTTTCGTGAGTTGGACGCTGGATAGGGGGGGGGCTCGCTCGGTTCTTGCGAAAAAACCTGCGTACCACCGGCGAATGTACCTCAACACGCTTCGGAATTTCGGCTGGCGCGCTTCATGGGCGGTGTGTGTACACTACGTGTGTGTCTTTTGTGTGATCGACATCTGGGAGCCACAGTGTCTGCCGCGAATCCGAAGAAGGTGGGCATGTGGGGTACACCCTCGAAAACAGAAGGGGGCCAGAAACATCTATCATGGTATACGAGGCCTAGTAACACGGCCAGTACCGGCATGCGTGACCGTCGCAAAATGCTTGTTGTGTCGACGACCGGCCCACTGACGAACAAAGAGGGATGAGAGTGAGTAAGTGAGTGAGTCACCTGTTGTTGTCTTAGCGCCGCCAGCTGTTCCTCCACGACCTTCTCTCGGTCCACCCTGACACCACCACCACCGCCGCCGCCATCGCCATCACCACAGCGGGGGGAGAGGTTTCGGAGGCAGGCGCAAAAACGGCAAATCGATGCCGCCGTTGTGATGAGTACGGAGAGCGGGACCAACTCTTCATAAAAGTTTGATGTCGCTTCGTTCACTCACGTGGACTGTGCCACACAAGACGGTGTGTTGATGCATATCTCGACTTCCACGTAATCCTACAAGACAAGAAAAAATAGATCAACGATTGACTCGCGGCGGCCTTTCGTCTTGTTTCTATACGAGCAAACCAAAACCTAGAGCCCGGACCTCCCCCTCCCCCAGGTAAACACGGCATCTAAATGGCAGGTAACGCCACCTACCATCTACCATCTGCTCACTCACTTCCTGGCGGCGTTTTTGGTGATCTCGCCCCGGTGCCTGTCCTCGTACTCCCTCACGGTGGCCTGGGCCCTGTCCGCCTCCCCCTTGTCGCCGCTGCAGAGCCCGTAGATAACGTCCTCCATGGTCTCAAGGTAGTCGTTGTAGGCGCGGAGGTCGCCGCCGAAGTCCTCCTCCGAACGGTTGAAGCTGTTCAACAAGTTAGGTAGTCATTGTTGAAAATGGTAAAAAAAATAGGGTGCATAATCGGGTGGGATGCTCTTGTATAGTGGTTGGATGGTGATGAATGGTGGGATGTTGTACCAAACAACGTGGGCGGGTGGGAGGTAGGATGGATGCCTCTCCGGCGGGGACTTGGAAACCCGGGGTTTGCATGTCAATTTCAACCTCTCACTTGGAAGCACGTACAAGAGCATTCGGTTGGCGTCGTCTCCGGAACGAGCGGCATCTTCACATCTTCACATGTTCGAAAGATAGAGGCGAGGGGCGGCATCTTCAAAATGCAATGGCGAGGGACAACAACCAACTACGAGGGAAGTTTCGGGTGCGCTGCTCGTGGCGGTCCCCTTCCTGCCACAAGGGCCACCGTTCACCTGGTAGCTGGTACGATTGATATCGGGTGGGACATTCGTTTGCCTGCGTAGCGCCTAGAGAAACTCCGGCATTTTTGTATCAACGGTCAGCGGCGGATCTCAGCTCGAGGTGACGGGTGAGTCCTTGGTAGGCTGCTGCCCTGCCCGTCTGGCGACCAAGTTGGCCAGGAAGGAGAAGGAGCAACGCCCTAGACTTCTTATCGAGATGCAGCACACGGATCAAAATTTGCCGACGGCAGACAGACACCCATAAGCGAGAGACAACAAGCACGGGCGTACGTCCATCGCGTCTCTCTCTCTCTCTCTCTCTCTCTCTCTCTCTCTCTCTCTCTCTCTCTCTCTCTC